CTTTATATATTAAATATAATTACTTTTAAACGAAAATTATCAATATAATTATTAGAAAGAATATATAATGATAAAAGATAATTTGAAGATTAAAAATCTTTAAAAGATTTATCAAATTTAACTTTAGCATTAGATGAATAAACTTTACTAACAGGATGTTTATATTAGAATTTTGTAGTTTTAATACTAAATAGACAAGAATTTTTATATAAAATTTGTAATTTAACTGAGAAAAGATATACTGAAAATTTTTTTATAAAAGAAATTCTTAAAGTTATAAATTCAATTATAATTAATAAATTTGCCATTATAATTACAGATAATAGAGAAAAGGTTACAATAGCATATAAATTAATTAATAATCAATTTTATAAAATATCTATCTAATTAAAAATATTTGTGTATAATTGTTATGTTTAGATTACCTGTATAAATAATAATGATTAATTGTATAATGTTACATAAATTCTAAAAATAAATATTTGTGTAACTGTTTTTGAGACTTGAATTCAAAATTTGCTAGAAGATAAAATTTCCTTTTTTGAAATTTGTGTAATGTCACATGATTTCTTCTGATGTAAAGCAACAGGTTTCAGCTAGTTTAATATTAAATATATTGATATATATTATATTAATCTTATATTATATGATTTTTTAAAATATAATTTTGCTGAACGAATAATTAAATATTATAATATATAAGTAAAATTTTTTATAAATTCTTATATTTATAATGATCTACTTTAAAAACTTATTTTAAAATATAAAATAATTGGAGAAAATCTAAACTTATATTAAAATAAAATGGATTTCTGTTACAGAATATACAAATTTAATTTTACATTTTAAATATTTATAGAAGTAAGTAATAATAATCTTATATAATAAAAAAATATTTGTGTAATAGTAATATTTAGAATACATATATAAATAAATGATTAATTATAATGTAATGTTATATATATTTTTAAAAAAGGAATTTTATTTCCCAATAAAATTATAAGTTTGTATTTCAAAATTAGTTGCATAAGTTTCTTTTTGAATATTTATATAATATCATATAATATATCCTATTATAAAGTAATGAGTTAGCAGTTAGTTTAATTAAAAATTAAAATTATTTAAGTTAATATTTTTTTTATAATATATTTATGAAAATTATCTAAATAATATTAAAGATATCATGTAAATTTTTTAGATTCATTAATTACTAGTTTATATGTATATAAAGAAAAAAATCTTAATTCTGAAGTACAAAAAAATATATAATAAAGATAATGATATTTTTGAAAAATAGTTATATATAAATACTAAAGATCATTTATTATAGTTTATAATATCTTATAAGGTATTTAAATAAAAAGTAAGTATAAATATTAATGATAATGATAAAATAATTAGTGCAGTATTTTATGTAAAAAATTATAAAGCTATAGAATATAGAGATAAAGATTTATTTATAAAATTAGCATAGTTAAAGAAGAATATTTTATTATTCTAAATTTGATATTATAATTAAAATGACATCAAATTCTATATGATATTAATAAACACAAGCTATATATAGTACAGCTAAATTTAATTAAATGAAGATAATATTTATTATACTAGCATAATTAATTTAGCAGAAAAAACTACATAAGAAATAGAAAAAAAAGCAGATATTATATAAAAAATTAGATTTTTTATAATTAATCTTTTATTTATTTTGACAAGATTATTTTTAATATTATTTTATATTTTTTTTTTATATAAATAATAAATAATAATTTAAATTTTATTTTTAAATCAAATAAAAACTTTTAAAAAATATTAAAATTATTAATTTTAATCATTTTCTATTTTAATTATTATAATGTATTTCAACTATTATAATATATTTTGACTATCATAATATATTTTAATTATTATAATACATTTTGATTATTATAATGCATTTTAATTATTATAATATATTTTGACTATCATAATAAATTTCAATTTTATGATTTTTTTAACAAAAAGTCAAAATTTATTATTTATATTAACTATTCAAAATAGTATTGCTTAGTATTTGTAAACTTAAATGATAAATTTTTAATTCAATCTATTAAATTAAATACAAGACAATATCACAATCATGCTTATATGAAGATACAACAAAAGGCAATAGTAAATGAATTTAAAAATTCCTTTATTGAATCTTGATTTATTTCTAAAACCTTAACTTGAGTTACTTTTAATTCAAGAGAAAATACAAAATATTTAGATAAAATAAAATACTATAAAATATATAATAACAAATATAATATAAAAGATAAAATAAATAAATAAAATAAATATATCTACTCTACTAACTATAATATAATTAATAAATATAACGAATGTAAATAATATAACTAATCTATCTAATAGATTAAATAAATCAATGATGACTATTTTAGCAATTTGGTCTAATTTGTTCACTTCGTTAACTTTATTAATCATTTTAATCACATGACTCATTGAGATACAGTCACAGATCATGGCTTTAATAGTCAAAATTAAATAATTTCAGTTTCATATATAATCATATAAATTATAATTATTATAAAAGTTGTAATTATAATTAAAGTTACAATTATTATAAAAGTTACAATAATCATAAAAATTACAATTATTTTAATTTTAAATCAGTTGCAATTATAATTAAATTTTTAAAAATTTGCAATTAGCAATTATAATTTTTAAGTTACAATTTTTTAATTATAATACTATCTTTATATAATATTATAAATAGTAATTAATTTTTTTAATTTATAATTATTTATTTATCTTTAATTTTTTTAGTATTTTTATTATAAATTTTCATTTTAATTTTTAATTTTATAAAAATATTTTATAAATTTTAATTAAATTTATTAATAATAATAAAGAAATATTATATAATATAATATTATTAATATATATATAAAATAATTTATATTATAAAAAATAATTATTTTAATATATATAAAAATTAGAGTAAATTTATTAATTGTGAGGGTGATACTTCTTATACATCATTTTTATATATATACCTTATCCTAACTCTAACATAACTCTAACCCAACTTTAAACTATGTGACACTAACATATGTGACAAATAGGGTTTCACACATGAAAAAATTTTTAAATTTCCAGAATATATATGAAAAATGAAAAAGGGAGGGGGTGTGATATAAGTGACAAAAAGGAGGTAATAATATCATACTTGCAATTAATAAATTTACTCTAAAAATTAAATAATTGAAAAAATTTTTTATAAATTGAATTAAAAAATTTGTAAAGAAATTTTTTTAATTTTATCTTAAAAATATTAAAATATTTAAATTTTAAAATTTATTAAAAAAATTTGATAAAAAATTTAATGAAATAAATACTAAATTAAAAAAAAAATTAATATTTTTAATTTTGATTAAATTTATAATTAAATATTTAATAACAAATTAAAATTATTTTAAAATATTGTAGAATTTCTGTTAAAATTTAAAGAAAAATATAATTAACACAAATCTAAAATGCTATTAATATTTTATTAAATATTTTAAATACTTAATAAATAATCTAAAAATTAATTAAATATTTAATAATTCTTTTTAAAATATTATTAATCATTAGTAAATTAAATTGTATAATATTAAAAAATCTTTTAAATAATATTTAAAATTTATTAATATAAAAAATTATAAACTTTAAATAAAATATACAATTAGTATATTAAAAGGATTTACTATATTAAATTTAATAATAAAAAAGATTTTGATAATATTTTTTATAAAAATTAATTTTAATATATGTTTTATTAGCTTTTAAATTTAAAATAATCTCAATTTTAATCTAAAATTAATTTTTAATTTTTAATATCCTAACTTTTCAAATATAAAATAAACTTATAAATAATACATTTATTAAATTATAAATTTTTTTTTTAAATTTTTTTTTTTATTTTTATTTTTATTAAATCTCTTTATTTTTTATTTTTTAAAAAAATATGCTTAAATTTGAATATAATACAATTTTATTTTAAAATTATTTTGATAAATTTTAATTAATTATTGATAAGTATTGTAAATAAATTATTTATTTAGATTTTTATTGATTACTAGAATAATTTTATTTTATCTAAAGATTTTGATTTGTTTTTATAAAAAATTTTAATTTTTTTAAATTTGAATTTTTTTTTCTATAATTATATTTGTTACTAATACTATATGGGTATAGGATAAATTTCCAATTCCATCACATTTCAAATTAGCCAAAACTTTATAAACTATATGTCATCTTGATGAGATGATTCAAATGATTATAATTTTATTTTTTTTAAGTAAACATTGATCGTTCTATATAGTATAACTATAACCCAAATAAACCTTATCAGAAAGTCCAAAATTAAGGTGATTAAGCTCCCAGACTGGCTCAAATCGAAACAAATGAATCTGATAAGATTCTAGACCACATCTGAAATTTTACATGAGCTTCTGATGGATGACTACCAAGTCCTTGACATTTGAGTGGGTGATAAAAGAAGTACATGATCGCTGACAGTAGCTATGATATTTAAAACCAAGCAATTCTAACCATCCTTGATACTAAGCAGTTGTCATTCTAATTTTTCCATCTTTAAGAAGCGCATCCAGAAGACTGTCAGCTTGCAGCTTACGGTATTCCTTGAATAATTCTTTAAGGTTATAAAGATAAAGAGCATTATTATTAATAGGATCAACTAGCCAACCGAGCTCAACGGATGTATTTGACGCAAGTAAGTTTTTTTGAATTTGGAATCTGTTCGTTTTGAGTTTCGTGCTTTTATGTCATCAATCTCCACGACAATCGTAGGGCTGAATGGTGAACCTTGATTCGTAGTTCTTCAGAACCTTAATACGTGGTTCTTCAGAATCATAATACGCGGTTCTTCAGAACCTTAATTCATGGTTCTTCAGAACCTTAATACATAGTTCTTCAAAATCTTGAGGCAGTGTGATGTATCCCAAGAATATCCCATGACTACACTGGTTGGAGGTATTATAGGCATCTTAAAAGCTTGGTTTCTACAACTGATCACTTTAAAGGAAAGAGAGATGTCTACCCAATTGAGATATCTCATTAATGTGGCTTTCTTGAATTTCTTTGAGACTTTGACAGTAATAATGTAATGAAGGAAATACATCAAAGTTGTGAAATTATACTGTAAAGGGCTGAGTTGACAACCTATTGCTCCACTTCACATACACTATAATCGTCCAGATCTATTTTCGGTATCTACTAGTCTAGTCTTTTAATTTGAAAAAAAAAACGTTAGCATAAATGACAAGTAGGACATTCTACCGCACATCACAGAGCTGAAGTCAGGACACTCTTCTCAATACATACAACACAAAGGCATAGAACACCTTGAAGCTGAAGAGAAAATACTGACCTTTTAGATTTTTGTTGAGTATAGTAATGAAAACTTTGATTTGAGAAATTTCACCTGAAAAAATTTTCCCAACTCCAATATTCTGAGGGAAAAAAAAATGTTTAAAAATAAAATATGTTGGAGCTTTGAATATAACGTATGGATTGAATAAAAATTTTTTTACCGGGAAATCTTAAAGTGATATATTTTTTTTTTGGTCGTAACAATATAAATTCAAGACACGTGATATTCGACCTATCACATGCGATTACTACGGGAAAAATTTTGATTTCTCAAAAAATGGTCGGATCGGGACTACATTTTAAACTTTGCATTCTGAAATCCTCAAAATTTTATGATGTAAAGTGTTCAATACTAAAAGTTCTTAAAAATATAAGAAAAATTTTTGACAATAAACAAGATCTTGTGCTTAAATACTTTAATACCAACAACAAAATTATTTTATTAATTATCGCATAAACTTTTTGATTACAACTATCTAGATTTTGTCTATTGTTTATAATAATGTAAGATATATTAGAACCTTAGTGACAAATTTGGTCTTTTGGCGCATCCATCAAAGTCTTTACAAGTTTATTTAAAAGTTCGTACTTTTTATTTTTATATATATCACGCAATTTTAAAACTATATTGAGTATATAAAAACCTGCTATCATCACACCTTACAATATCCAATAGTGTTGTTAATTAAAATCTTGTGACACGATCGTTAATTTTTTGGTTGTGATGATATTCTACCAAGTTATCGCTCGGATAAAAACCAAAGTACTCCTTACTCAAATGAATTATTCATTCAGTCTTACAAAAATTCCAAATTGGTTATCAAAGAATCTTTTTAATTAAAATTTGCCATTCATTTACACGTAACAATAAATAATTTGTGAATTATCGAGAGGATTGACTGCACCTATTATTCTATTCAGTAATACAAACAAAAAAAAATAAAAAATAAAAATAAAAATAAATAGAGCACATTTTCCTCATCTCTCTTTTTTTAAATATAAATTTATCATAACTATTAATTATTACTTTTGTATAAAATTTATTGGAGATTCGCCATTCATTTATTATATATACATATAATTCATACAAAGATGGAAATATCTGATCAGCGGCCTAATTGATTTTTCATGTATAACCTATTCTTTATTTTATTACCCTAGACTCTTAAAAAAATTAATATATTTTATTAAATTTTTTATAATTCTAAATCTAAATTTATTAAAATTAATTTGATTATAGTGTTACATTTAATATAGATTAAGAACAAGATAAATTATCATCGCAGTCTTTTTTTTTTTTTGAACGATTAGATAACAGATCAATCTAATCAGATTTAAAGTTCTATTCATTATATTAAAAAATTAAAATTAATAGACAATATTCATTTTACTTTTAAGAATTTTTAATATATTAATATACTTATTCATATCATTATAATATTTATAATCTGTATATTTTAATTCGTTAGGGTCAATTCGTTATGGTACCAAATTTGTTTTAATTAAAAATTTAATGTATACTGAATATAATGGGATTTGGAGTTCTTTGAATAACACCTTTGCGATAACATCTACTTCGTTTATTTTTAATGTCCGATTTTTCTTATTTTTCTTGTAATTTTGTATTTTGCGTAGTTTTAATTAATTAACATTTTAGTGATTTGAGTTAAATAAAATGAAATTGCGGAAGTGTAGAGCGCCAACGTTGAGGCAACACTGATTAATTGATTTTATTAAATACATTTAACATCATAATTACTTCATTATTACAAATACAAATTATTTATAAATAATACTGAATACAAAAGTATAAAAAAATTAGAACAACTCCATTTTCAGAAACAATAACTAGGACGTATAAATAAATGTATTTTTTGTCAAATAAATCTTTATTCATTTTTTATAAACTTTAAATTTTTATCTCGTTCGTTTAAACGTTAAAGGCTTTTTTTATAAAATGAGTCAAGGAAAATCATTTGAACGAGGAACATCCTTAGAAGTTGATTTTAGACGATTAATCAATGATCAAAGATTTTTTGACATTACTTTAAAATGTTCGGATGAAAAGAAATTATCTGCTTGTAAAGCTATTTTAACAGCTCGTTCTGACGTTTTCAACTCTCTTATTTTTATCGTATCAAGAAGTCATAATGAACTTTCATTTAGTAATATTAATTCAGATGCTATGAAAGTGATATTAGAATATTTGTATACGTCCAAGGTTCAAAAGAAAAACTTAACGATTAGTAATGTTGTGGAAGTTTATTATGCTTCCATTTATTTTAAGTTGAAAGTTCTTCAGCAACATATTATTGACTGTACCAAGGAGTTTTTAAAAGGTGGACCAAATATTTCCAAAAACCTCTTATCACAATTCGTTGAGAAATTCACCTCAGGGGTGGATAATGAAATGTCACAGATATTGATAGTCTGGGTATCCAAGAATAAATTGGAAAGTTTTGAAAATAATGAAAAAGATCCATTATCATTAGAAGGGTTGAAGCATCTTTTGATGAAAACTCTTGATACCAAAGCACCGTTTGCTACTTCAGAGTTTGATATTGGAAATATGCTTTAAAAAAAGTTATAAGTATTGCTACACATGATAGAAAAACTGAACTTTCAAAGTGTGATGCTGATGAAATTAAGGAAGTAAAGACTCATTTAACCCCATTTATCTATTATATTGATTTAAATCGAATGGATATGAACGAAATTATGAAATACATTGAACCTGTAAATATTTTTTCAATTGAAAAACTCAAGGATATTTATTGCTCTAAAAGGGACAAGGAATTACCAAATATTCATGAAATACCTGTTTTTAAATGGAAAAATAGTAAATCTGAGAACTATTCAAAACAAAAATCTATATTGGTGATATGATTTTTAAAAATATTGGAAAATATGAATGGAAAATCGTAATTGAAAATTTGTGTGGAATAGTTTATATTGGAATATGTGGTGATGAGAATTTAAGTACAACTGAACAAAATTACCATGGGTGGGTCTTTGGAATGGTATGATGCAGAGATGAAAGTAGAGAAATTATGTTACAATTTTTCTGAATATAAGCACAGTTGATAAAAGGAGGAAATGCAAATGCTCATTTTCTATCAATAGGAGGGCTAGAAAACCTATAGTTTTCGGATACGGATGGGATGATATTCCTTCTCAAGTTTATCCTGTTGTTTCTTTAGGTTGTAGTAGTGAATTGCGTATAGAACCTGTATCAACACGTATATAAAAAATTCAGCTTTTAATACAACATTTTTAGATCAACTGATAATGTTTAGAAAGAATAAAAAGCTAATAAATAATAATTTGTTCACGTGAACCAACAGGAGAATTAAATTTACCCAGTATTATAAGTAAAATTTTACCTTGTGAAATAATTTTCCACATTAAAAAAATTCTATCCTGACTATAATAAAATGGAAAAAAAAATATTTAAAATCTTTGGCGATTTAAATCATATGATATCTCTTCTATATACTGAAATTAATTCAGTAATTATTTATAGGCGTAATTTATAAATATTTAGTATAATGACCAGTAGTATTAATTATATAATATAACTATTTAAAGATCTAACAATATCAAAATATCAAAACTTTTTACTTTTATTTATAATTTTATTATTATATTTTTAATATAAATATTAAAAAGATTTTTTTTTAATCAAAAAAATATTTATATATCCTATTATTTTAAACTTTTTAAATTAATCAGTCATATTTTTCTATATACAGTGGTGTGCAAAAAAAATGAATTTTTTTTCGAAAAATGATCAACTGGCGTAACTTACCCAATTTTGGTTAGAATTACACAAATAAATATGCAAATGAAAGCCTGACGATCCCTCTATCAACTTTTAGCGAAACCTTTCCCACACTT